TACAACCACCTCTGCAACATCGAAGAAGGGAGCAGAAGGAAAAATACACTTGACAGCATTTAAGAAAAAGGAGACCATAATGTCAAGTTAAAAGTATCAGTGAGATCGGAACACCATTTGCCACCCCTGCCACACACACATATCCCTTAATTCAGGTATAATCTCCAAGAACATACAAACGACAACTATTTTGAATCCTTAAAATGTGGGTCACAGAAGGCAAACAGGGGAGGCAACCCCATTTGAAGGAACAGTGAACTTCCTGTTTTCCCTTCTGTGTCGCTGGAATCAAGGAAACTCAGCCAATTTGGGACAGTCCACCCTTAGTTCCCTTGAAAAAAAACTTGGTGAGAAGCAGTTCTTGAAACTTTTCAGTTTATTTCCTGTAAAGGACACTAATGATAGTACCCGAATACAGGCCCTCACTGCCCCCTGGTGGCATAAAATGACATTACCAAAATTCATAGAAGCAGCAGATCACATGATCACTTGACATCTCTTTACTCATCCATTTGCTCTAGCAGGTGCCAGTAATGTCTCCATTCGTCCTTGTTGCATGCCAATGTAGCCCAATGGCATCTACTCATTCTAGGAACATGAAGAGCCACAAACCGATTATTCAGGGTCTTGACGGAGAGGTCTGACCATCTCTAAGGTGGGGGGTCAAGCAATCTTTTGACATCCCTTGGAATCCATTCTGTAATGGCTTTAGTCCAGCGGTCTTCTCCAAATCTCATTACATGTCCAGCCCATCTGGACATCTGATTTTCTATGCCTTGGCAAACGAGACAGCGTCCCTGATACAAATCCATTGATGGAGGACGAAACTCCAAATTCTTTCTTTCATTTGAGTGAAGCATGATACCCCAAGCATAGCTCTTCGATTCCTCTTTGGGAAACCCGAATAGCACTCTCATCCTGTTCTCATAGGGCCCAGGTGTCTGAGGCATATGTTAATGCAGGAATAACAGTGGAATCAAAGAGGTGTGCCCAGAGCCAGAGGTTCTTCCTCTTAGCTATATCTTCGACGCTCTTGAAGGCATTCCAAGCTGCTCTCTTCTTCCTGTGCATCTTAGGTGCCAGGTCATTTGTCATGTTGACTTCTTGGCCTAGGTACAAATAACTGTTGCGTTCAGAGACATTCCTTCTATTGAGAGTGAATGGAACATCAGGAACGAGACTGTTTCTCATAAACATTGTCTTGGTGAGATTCAGTTGTAGTCCGATCTTTCCATATTCATGGTTGAAGTTGGCCAGCATGTGTGCGGCTTGGCTAATGTTTGGTGTAATTAGAACGATGTCATCAGCAAAGCGGAAATGGTGTAGTTGCCGACCATCTATCTTCACTCCCATTCTTTCCCATTCCAGTCATCACATGACGTTCTCGAGGGTGGCACTGAAGAGTTTTGGTGAAATGGTATCACCCTGCTGAACCCCTCTCTTGACATGGATGATCACTTCCTTATAGAATGGTTAGATCCTGGTAGTGAATCCTTAATACAGCTCATGGAGGATTCTGATTTATTGAGTTTCAACGCCCTGGTGGCTAGGGCTTCGCTGACCACTTTAATCTCAACAGAATCAAAGGCCTTCTTTAAATCAATGAATGTTAGACAGAGAGGCATCTTGAACTCCCAAGAAACTTCAATGAATTTGGTATTAAGTGGATAGGGTCATTCGTACTGAATCCTTTTCGGAAACCAGCTTGCTCGCATAGTTGTCCTTCATCTAATGTTCTGCCAATCCTATTCAGGTTGACTCGAGTGAACAGCTTGTAGATGACAGATAACAGGCAGATCGGGCGATAGTTGCCAATGATGTGGATGTCTCCCTTCTTGTACAGTAGTACAGTTCTGCTGGTTTTCCATTTGGACGGAATCTTGCATTCAGACAGGTAGCATGTGAAGAGCCGAGCCAGTGTATTGAAGAGTACTGATGGCAGCTTCTTCAGGTGTTCAGGTCAGACCTTGTCTGGGCCAGGTGCTGTTTCTTTCTTTACTGGCAAAATGGCCTGTCAGATTTCGGAAGGGAGAATGTTGGGAATGACATATCCATCTTGCGGAATTTGGTATGTGGGCTGGCGAACATGGCTATCAAAAAGATCTGAGTAGAAGTCATGGATAATCTTCTCCATTGCCCTTCTGGAAGATGTGATAGATCCATCAGGACGTCGGAGGACAGTCATCTTTTCTCAAAACCGCGCGGCCGCTTATGCGGCCGCGCGACATCTCTCTATATACAAAGTGATCAATGAGAAGTAAACCACCCAATCTTTCTCCCTGAAAGTCAGAGTTAAGTTTGGAGCACGGCCACAGCCCCAGAAACACAAGGACTTAATGCAGAACCCAGCAGCTTAGAGCAGAAAAGTGAAAGGACTATGCGTTAATCCAGGCCATCAAGTCTGCCGGAGGGGAAAGGGTGTTGCCCCATTCGCCCTCTCTTCTCTGGAAAGAAGGATGGCGGCCGCATGGGAGCCGTGTGGACAGCAGGTATGAGCCGGGGGTGTGGGGGCGACTAAAACCTCATGGGAAGGGGGGCGTTCCGGTCCGTCCTTCACGCCCTACCGAGGTCACCAGTTGACCCCCACGAGCGGCTCTCCAGCACGGCCACAGCCCCAGAAGCACAAGGGCTTAATGCAGAACCCAGCAGCTTGGAGCAGAAAAGTGAAAGGACTATGCGTTAATCCAGGCAATCATTTCTGCCCAGAGGGGAAAGGGTGTTGCTCCCTTCCGCCCTCCTCCCTCTGGAAAGAAAGATGGCGGCCACATGGGAGCCTTGTGGACAGCAGGTATGAGCCGGGGGTGTGGGGGCGACAAAAACCTCATGGGAAGGGGGGCGTTCCGGTCCGTCCTTCACGCCCTACCGAGGTCACCAGTCACCCCCCACGAGCGGCTCTCCAGCACAGCCACGGCCCCAGAAGCACAAGGACTTAATGCAGAACCCAGCAGCTTGGAGCAGAAAAGTGAACAGACTATGCATTGACCCAGCCCATCAAGTCTGCCGGAGGGGAAAGGGTGTTGCCCCATTCGCCCTCTCCTCTCTGGAAAGAAAGATGGCGGCCACATGGGAGCCTTGTGGACAGCAGGTATGAGCCGGGGGTGTGGGGGCGACTAAAACCTCATGGGAAGGGGGGCGTTCCGGTCCGTCCTTCACGCCCTACCGAGGTCACCAGTTGCCCCCCACGAGCGGCTCTCCAGCACGGCCACAGCCCCAGAAGCACAAGGGCTTAATGCAGAACCCAGCAGCTTGGAGCAGAAAAGTGAAAGGACTATGCGTTAATCCAGGCAATCATTTCTGCCCAGAGGGGAAAGGGTGTTGCTCCCTTCCGCCCTCCTCCCTCTGGAAAGAAAGATGGCGGCCACATGGGAGCCTTGTGGACAGCAGGTATGAGCCGGGGGTGTGGGGGCGACTAAAACTTCATGGGAAGGGGGGCGTTCCGGTCCGTCCTTCACGCCCTACCGAGGTCACCAGTTGCCCCCCACGAGCGGCTCTCCAGCACAGCCACGGCCCCAGAAGCACAAGGACTTAATGCAGAACCCAGCAGCTTGGAGCAGAAAAGTGAACGGACTATGCATTGATCCAGGCCATCAAGTCTGCCGGAGGGGAAAGGGTGTTGCCCCATTCGCCCTCTCCTCTCTGGAAAGAAAGATGGCGGCCACATGGGAGCCTTGTGGACAGCAGGTATGAGCCGGGGGAGTGGGGGCGACTAAAACCTCATGGGTCGGGGGGCGTTCCGGTCCGTCCTTCACGCCCTACCGAGGTCACCAGTTGCCCCCCACGAGCGGCTCTCCAGCACGGCCATGGCCCCAGAAGCACAAGGACTTAATGCAGAACCCAGCAGCTTGGAGCAGAAAAGTGAATGGACTATGCATTGATCCAGCCCATCAAGTCTGCCGGAGGGGAAAGGGTGTTGCCCCATTCGCCCTCTCCTCTCTGGAAAGAAAGATGGCGGCCACATGGGAGCCTTGTGGACAGCAGGTATGAGCCGGGAGTGTGGGGGCGACTAAAACCTCATGGGAAGGGGGGCGTTTCGCTCCGCCCTTCACGCCCTACCGAGGCCACCAGTTGCCCCCCACGAGCGGCTCTCCAGCACGGCCACGACTCCAGAACACAGAAACCAATTTCTTAACTATCTGACTTTCAGTAGAAATACTTCCAGGGTCAATAAGTAAAATAGCAGAAATCCAAAACCAACATTTAATTCTTGAACCCAGCTGGAGAAAGCAAATCACTTCACAATGCTTTTTCAGCATGTCTGATTTGGGGGGGGGGGGGTAAACTCTAAATAATAGTGGTGAATCTTTTATTGAAACAATCTAATCAAAGCGGATAGAGTGTTAACTAGAATTCATCTGCCTCACAGGGACGGGGAGGGGTGGGGGGTGGGGTTTTATTGGGGTTCTTCATGGGAAAAAATAAGTATTGGTAAAGGGAAATGTGTTTGATATTTGCATGACTGAGACATAAACCTGAAAGCTTTGTAACCTTTCCCACCACAGTGATTCAATAAATAAATTAAAAAAAAAAAAAAATTACGAAAAAAAAAAAAAAAAAGAATAAATTTATGAAATTCATATTCTATCAAAAAATTTAAGAATTTTGAGTAAATTTACAGATTATATCCAGTAGTTCATAAATTTATTTGTGTGCATGACACATATCCATATATAGTCAATGAGAATAACTAAAAATGCAAGAAACAGGAAATATGAAAAATTGTTTAAAAATAAATAAATACAAAGGATATGGAGAATATTATGATTTTCAAAACTCAATAGTTTATAATTATTTAATTTAAAAATAATTATTGATAAAGCAAAAATATTATATTTCAGATGACAATTTCTTTTATTTTTGCATCACACCCGGCAATGCACAGGGGTTACTCCTGGCTATGCACTCAGGAATTACTCCTGACAGTGCTCAGGTGACCATATGGGATGCTGGGAATCGAACCTGGGTTGGCCGCGTGCAAGGCAATTGCCCTACACGCTGTGCTATCACTCCAGCCCCAAAATATTATATTTCAGAAGTAAAGGAGCTTGGTAACTCTGAGCAGGTTTTTGTCTCACTTCCCTATGAGGGTGAACCACTGTGCTTGTGCCGTCACTCCTGTACGAGCAACAGTAATAATCAGTCTCGTCCTCAAGTCTGAGCCCAGAGATGGTCAGGGTAGCTATGTTGCCAAACTTGGAGCCAGAGAAGCGATCAGGGATCCCTGATGGCCGATTGTTGACATTATAAATCAGCATTTTGGGGGCTGTGCCCTCCTGCTGCTGGTACCAGGAGACATAGCCATATCCCCCAACGTCATTGCTGGTCCCAGTACAGGAGATGGTGATCGTCTGTCCTGGCGTTCCAGACACTGCGGGAGGCTGAGTCAGGGCAGACTGGGCCAGACTCCCTATGTAGAGAGAAAAAACCCACTCTGGTGAGTTCAAGCTGGGCCCAGGTGAGCCTGAGGTAGAGAGAAAGGTTGAGCCCAGATGTTCCCCGGGGTCCCATTCCTAAACCTCACCTGGACCCTGACTGAGGAAGCTGAGGAGGAGAAGAGCCCAGGTCATGATGGAGACGCCCAGAGTGTTGCCTGCTAACATGCCAACCCTGGGCCTGCCTCTCTCCCAGCTCTTATCACTCCACTGCTCAAGAGAAGGGAGGAACCTGCATGCAAATTTGCTTCCTGCACCTGCTTCTGCTCACCCCTCTCTGGCCTGGCCTTTGTCTTCAGATGTCTCAGGATTTCTTGACATCAGAGCTATCAAAAATAATTTCTCCTGATAATATTATTCTCAGAACAAAACATTAATTTTACCTGATTTGCAGAGGAGAATGAATGTGTGGAAATCCTCATGTTGAGGACTCCTTGCCCTCCAGGTCTTTGTTGTAACAAAAATATGTCTGTTGATAACTCAGGACTCAGCTCCTCTTGAAGTGTCCTCTGCTGGGATCCTGCCCTTATTTCAGGTTCTCTTTCCTGTTAGGTAATTTTATTTATCTATCTACTCTGGGAATTTCTGAGGCAGCTTGTCTCTCTTAGTTTACTCAATTGTACAGAGATGCTCAGACACAGGGGAATCCTAGTAATAAACATAGATGATAATCCTAGGTCTGAGTTTGCATCCTCTCATCTCTGCCCCTTGCATATTCAACTTGTAATTTTCTTCTCTAGAACTCTGATTCAACTAGAGTCAAGACTATGAATGATATATCCTATAGTTTGCATTATATGGAGATAATAATGTGAAACAGACAGAGACAAAATGAAAAGTATGGGCACAGTTATGTATCCTTTTCAGTAAACAATGTGATATAGTTTTTTTTTTTATAAATTTACATTACCCAGGTCCTCTTTTCATGATTCTATACATACCTATTAGACCATATATGAATGTCTTGATATTCTTGGGCTTCCTTTAGATCAGTGAATTTATAGAAATATGACACACAATTCTCTATAAGTGGAAGTTATATGAATACAAATACTTTCCCTCCATCCTGTACACTGAAAAACTGATATGAAATTGTACTCCCTTGTTATTCCATTCAAGAGTTTATAATTTGCCTTCCAATTCTTACTTTTTTCTAAATTATGTGTCTAATGTTGATTTTGGGGTCTGTGCTCTACCTCACTGATAAAAATTCCTTCCTCACAGGAGTAAAGATTCAAGTTTGATTCCTGGTGCCACCATATGCCCTGACCACAGTTCTCGAAGCTCTGAATGGGTGAACACATAACTCTTATGTGTGGTCCCAGTGAGCATCATGAGTAAATGGTAAAGCAACACAGTCAGTATGTCTACAACCGTTAGGCATCACACAGTCACAACAGCAACAAAGAAGGGAAAAAGGGTGAAATATAATTCAAAAATCTAACAAAAACCCTTACAAAAATGTCAATGTAACTAAGATATTCAGTATCAGATTCCACTAATGCTATAACGAGCTCAGAATACCACCCCCCCCCCATACTCAGTAAACCCTAAGAACATACAAAGAACAGCTTCTAGTAACGGAAAAAAAATGTGGATCATAGAAGACTCATGAGGGGAAGCTCTTGTTTTTAAAAACAATATTTAAAACAGTGAACTTCCTTTTTTTCCAGTCTGTACTTTCGAATTCAAGAAAAACCACCAAATTTATGAGCCTAACCTTATTTCTTTCTGTCAGAGGTTAAGAAGAAACAGCTCTTGGTACTTAGTACAATTCCAGGTAAACCACAGCAGTGAGGGCTGGAGCAATAGCACAGCAGTAGGGTGTTTGCCTTGAAAGTGCCGGCCTTGCAAGCAGAGTTCAATTCTTCTGGCCCTCTCTGAGAGCCCGGCAAGCTACCGAGAGTATCTGGCCTGCTCGACAAAGACTGGCAAGCTACCTGTTACATATTCGATATGCCAAACACAGTAACAAGTCTCCCAATGGAGATGTTATTGAGCCCACTCAAGCAAATCAATGAACAACAGGAGTACAGTACTACGATGCTACAGATCTCAGAAATCCGGTCTTGACTTTCCCCGGTGGCCACATATTGCAATACCTAAACCAGTGGAAAAGTGCATTGGGCTGAAAACCTATGTCCTTCTCAGTCTTTCCTTTAGGTTTTTATTTATTTATTTATTTATTTATTTATTTATTTATAATTTTATTGAATCACTGTGAGATAATGACAAGCTTTCATGTTTGGGTACAATCACACAATGATCAAACATCCATCCCTCCACCAATATCCCTGGTATACCACCCCTTTCCAACCCTCCCCATGCCTTCATGACAACTTCCTCCATACTCTCTCTCTCCTTTTGGGCATTATTTTGCTATATAGCTACTGAGAGACCATCAGGTTTGGTCCTGTATCTACTTTCTGCAAACATTTCCCATCTCGGCCGATTCCTGCAGCCATCATTTTCTTAGTGATCCCTTCTCTATTCCAGCTGTCTTCTCCCCTTTGCTTCCAGCTATGGAGCAATCTACCTGTCCCATGTATCTAATATCCTTAAGTGTCAGCCTCATGTTATGTTATTTTATACTCCACAAATGAGTGCAGTCCTTCTATATCTGTCCCTCTCTTTCTGACTCATTTCACTTAGCATGATACTCTCTATGTCTATCCATTTATAAGCAAAGTTCATGACTTCATCTCTCCTGACAACTGCATAGTATTCCATTGTGTAGATGTACCAAAGTTTCTTTAACAGTGATCTGTTGTAGGGCACTGGCGTTGTTTCCAGATTTTGGCAATTGTGAACAGTACTGCAATGAACATATAAGTACAGATGTCATTTCTACTGTGCTTTTGCATCCTTGGGATATATTCTGAAAAGTGGTATTGCTGGGTCATATGGAAGCTCAATTTTGAGTTTTTGAAGGACTGTCTATATTGTTTTCCAGAAAGGCTAGACTAGTGGGCAATTCCACCAATTGCGAAAGAGTTTCCCTTTTTCCCCACATTCATACCAGCACTGGTTGCTTTTGTTCTTTTTTTTTTTTCCCTTTATTTTATTTTATTTTTTTTAAAGTTGTAGATTTACAATTTTTTGTGCTTTGGTTTCAATTATACAATGATCAGATACCCATCCCTCCACCAGTGCCCATTTTCCACCACCATGGATAATATCCCTCCCACCCCCATCCCCCCATCCCCCCCTGCCTCTGTGGCAGGGCAATCCCCTGTGTTCTCTCTCTCCGTTTGGGTGTTGTGGTCTGCAAAAGAGGCATTGAGTGGCAAACATGTTCAGTCCATAGTCTACTTTCGACATGCATCTCCCCTCCTGGGAGGATCCTCCAAACATCCTTTATTTGGTGCTCCCTTCTCTATCTGAATAGCCCTTTCCTCTAGGATACCCGGCTGGCCTCTAAGTTATGGAGTAATCCTCCTGGTGCTGATCTCAGCTATTCTTGGGTATTAATCTCATACTTTGTTACTTTATATCCCCCAGATGAATGCAATCTTTCTATGTCTATCCCTCTCTTTCTGACTCATTTCGCTTAGCATGATACTTTCCATATTGTACCACTTGTATGTAAATTTCATGACTTCATCTTTTCTAAGAGCTACATAGTACTCCATTGTGTAGATGTACCAAAGTTTCTTTAACCAGTCATCTGTTCTTGGGCATTCAGGTTTCTTCCAGTTTCTGGCTATTGTAAAGAGTGCTGCAATGAACAAACAAGTGCAGATGTCACTTCGACTATACATTTTTGCCTCTCTGGGATATATTCCCAGGAGTGTTATTGCTGGGTCAAATGGGAGCTCAATTTCTAATTTTTTGAGAATCGTCCATACTGTTTTCCAGAAGGGCTGAACCAGTGGACATTCCCACCAACAGTGAAGGAGTGTCCCTTTCTCGCCACATCCACGCCAGCATCGGTTGCTTTTGTTCTTTTGAATTTGGGCCAGTCTCTGAGGTGTGAGATGGTATCTCATTGTGGTTTTGATCTGCATCTCCCTGATGATTAATGATGTAGAGCATTTTCTCATGTGCTTTTTTGCCATTCGGATTTCTTCTTTGAGAAAGTTTCTGTTCATTTCATTGCCCCATTTTTGGATGGGGTTGGATGTTTTCTTCTTGTGGAGTTTAACCAGTATTTTGTATATCCTGGATATCAACCCCTTGTCAGATGTGTATTCGGTGAATATCCTTTCCCATTCTGTAGACTGTCTTTGTATTTTGGTCACTGTTTCTTTGGAGGTGCAGAAGCTTCTTAGTTTAAGATAGTCCCATTTATCTATCTCTGTTTTCACTTGCTCGGCCAGTGGCGTGGCATCTTTGAAGATACCATTAGCTTCAATGTCATGGAGGGTTTTGCCAACTTTATCTTCAATGTACCTTATGGTTTCTGGTCTGATGTTGAGGTCTTTAATCCATTTTGATCTTACTTTTGTACATGGTGTTAGGCAGAGTTCTGAGCCTATTTTTTTGCATGTAGCCGTCCAGTGATGCCAACACAATTTATTAAAGAGGCTTTCCTTACTCCACTTCACATTACTTGCACCTTTATCAAAGATTAGATGAGCATATGATTGAGGAGAGATGTCAGTGTATTCAACCCTGTTCCATTGGTCTGCAGTTCTGCCTTTGTTCCAGTACCATGCTGTTTTAATTATTACTGCTTTGTAGTACAGTTTGAAGTTCGGGAGGTTGATTCCTCCCATTTTCTTTTTCCCAAGAATTGCTTTAGCTATTCGTGGGGGCTTATTGTTCCATATAAATTTCAAGAGTGTTTGCTCCATTTCTGCCGGTTTTCAACCCCTGAGTCGCGTGGGACGGGCACAGAGGCCCAGCTCTGGGCAACAAAGCTGAACGGCTCCAATTCCAACAGGTACAGCCCGCCCCCAAGGGCCTGGGTTCCTCTCTGGGCACGCGCAGCTTTTGTTCTTTTGAATATGTGCCAGTCTCTGTGGTGTGAGATGATATCTCATTGTTGTTTTGATTTGCAACTCCCTGATGGCTAGCGATGTGGAGCATTTTATCATGTGCCGTTTGACCATTTGTATTTCTTTTTTGAGGAAACGTCTGTTCATTTCTTCTCCCCATTTTTTTATGTGGTTGGAGGTTTTTTCTTGTACAAT